GGCAGAAGTGAAGATTATATTAAGTGAAGTAAAGAAAAATCTACAGGGAACCAACTGCAACTGGGATGAAGCCAAGAATCAGATCCATGATTTGGAACATAAGGAAGAAAAAAAGCATTCAATCAGAACAGCAAGAAGAAAAAAGAATTAAAATAAATGAAGATAGCCTAAGGAGCCTCTGGGACATCATCAAACACATCTGAATCATAAGGTTGCCAGAAAGAGAAGATACAGAGTAAGAAATTGAAAACTTATTGGGAAAAAAAAGAGAAAACTTCTTTAATTTGGTGAAGGAAATAGACATACAAGTCCAGGAAGCACAGAGAGTCCCAAACAAGTTGGACCCAAAGAGGACCACACCAAGACACATCATAATTAAAATGGTAAAGGATAAAGATAAAGAGAGAATCTTAAAAGCAGAAAGAGAAAAACAGAGAGTTACTTACAGAGGAGTTCCCATAAGACTGTCAGCTGATTTCTCTAAAGAAACTTTGCAGGCAAAAGGGTCTGGCAAGAAATATTCAAAGTGATGAAAAGCCAGGACCTAAAACCTAGATTACTCTATCCACCAAAGCTAACATTTAGAAGCAAAGAAGGTCTGATAAAGTGCTTCCCAGACAAGGTAAAGCTAAAGGAGTTCATCATCACCAAGCCATAATCATATGAAATGTTAAAGGGAACTATATAAGAAAAAGAAGATCAAAACTATGAACATTAAAATAGCAACAAATTCACAACTATCAACAACTGAACCTAAAAAACAAAAATAAAAAACAAACTAAGCAAACAAGTAGAAGAGGAACAGAATCATAGAATCACAGAAATGGAGATCACATGGAGGGTTATCAGTGGAGATGGGGAGGGGGAGAATGGGGGAAAAGGCATAGGGATTAAGGCGTACAAATTGATAGGTACAAAATAGACAGGGGGATTTAAGAATAGTATAAGAAAAGGAGTAGGCAAAGAACTTATATGCATGACCCCTAAGGGGAGGATTGCTGGAGGGAATGGGGGTACTGGGTGGAGTGGGCAAAAGGGGAAAAATTGGGACAACTGTAAGAACATAATCAATAAAATACATTAAAGAAATAAAACTAGGGCATTGAAATGGAACAGGTTTTGCTTTCATCTCTACTGTTTCTCCTTGAGATATGTAACTTTGAGCAAATTATCTAACTTTTTCATTCAGGAAATGTACCATATGCATAAATTCTAAGGACAGAGAGAATAAAAATAGTCCCTGTCCAGAAGCTTACAGATTAGGGGAAGAGACCAAGAAATTAATTTCATACAATGTGATAAATACTATCATAAGTCAAACACAGGGACAATAACAGGCCATGAGGGAGACTTTTAACCTAACCTGGGGTGGACAGAGAAGCTTCTTAGAGAGGATAACATTGTATCGTATATATCACCCTTGTATATGCTCTCATGAATCTCTAATATCTTGAAGTAATAAAATTAAGAGAAATTATATATTTCTAGACTACTGCTGTCCCATAGAAATGTAATGTGTTATAGATAAGTAATTTTGTATTTTCTAGTAATTGTATTAAGTGAAAATAAACAAGTGAAACTTTGATAATATATTTACAACCCACTGTATCTAAAATAGTATCATTTTAACATGTATTGATATATTTTATATTCTTCTGTACAAGGTCTTTGAAATTTATTGTGTATTTTACACTTGCCACATATCTCTGTTAAGACCAAGCCACATCTTAAGTACTCAATAGCCTGGCCAGGGACTATGATGTTAGACAGCACAGATCTATTTTGGGCCAATGGTTTCCAATATTTTTCAAGTATGAAGACTTCTTAAAACATTTTGTGGATACCCACATTATAATTTGACACTTTTAATATTTATTGATAAATCATATTGAAAAATTCTATCAATAAATTTGACAATGCTTTTTCATGTATATTTATTTTACAGAACAGAATCTACATATTTGGAAAGTGGTACAACAGGATATGGTATTATATCAGACCACATCATAGTATGATATGATATATTATATGTAAACTAATTTGAATTAGAACTTGGCCTGACACAGTAGATGAATCGCTATTTTCAGGCATGACTTAAGTTCTGTTGTAATCATCCCTATTACTAAGATTAGCGAAGCTGACAGAGCACTTTTTGAGAGGTTCCTTACAGAGGTGATTCAGGTATCCTGGTGGCAGGATGATGGCCAAGCTAAAGAACTTAGTCCTGAGGTCTTTCTCAGTTTGTGGTGATAATTAATGTGGGTTCTCCTCCCAACTTGCTCACTTACCAGCTGAGACCTTAGGCAATATACTTAAGATCCCTAAGCCTTGGGCTTTTTCATCTTTTAAAAACAAAAACTGTATCCACTTAATATTTGAGCATTCTGAGCACCTTATATATATCAACTCTTTAAATCCTCACCACAATCTTATGAGACCTGCTATATTATCCTCACTCCACACAGATGCACACAGAGGCCCAGATATGTTCAATAATTTGCCCAAGATTACTCAGCTGTGATCTGAACCCAAAGCCTGCACTTTTAATCTCTGTGCTGTATTGCCTTTTTTTAAATTGCCGTAAGTCTAAAATAATGTATATAAACATCTAGCACATGCATGTTCAAGAAATGTCAGTTTATTAAGATTCCAATGGCCGTATTTTGCCTTTTTAAAATGTTTTTTTTTCCTAAATTGAAATACAGTGCTTTATCACTCGGAAGTAGTTCCAAGTTCCACCACCTACATGAATCTTTTTTTAACCGGCCTGATTTTTCTTCCTGGGCTGAAAATTCCTTTTAATATCTAAGTTTGGCCCATGGTATTCTACCAGTGATTATGCCTTAATAACTTACCAACAGTGGTAATTGAAGAGGAAGAAATCTCTCTCACATTCCTCCCCCTCGCTCACAGAAAGTCACTTATTCTCATTTATTCAATAGGGGCCTATTCGATGCCAGGTGCTAGACATTTACTAATTGTCCAGACATTTACTTATTTGGTAAACAAAAACAGATGGTTCTCTTTCTCATTTTGATGATAGATTATGACATTTTGCAAGCGTATAAATACAAATTGCGGTAAGTGTTATAAAAAGGCCACTTGAAAGACAGTCTAAGGGATATAACTTAGGTAGAAGAAGTCAAGGAAAGCCAAAGATGGGTAAGTAATGTCTGGGCTAAGTGAGACGTGAAGAATGAGTAGGACTTTGCCAGGGAAAGAGTGACTGGAAGAACATTCCAGGCAAAGACTGGAAAGCAAAAAAGCTCGTCATGTTTAGAAACAAAAGAAAACCAAGGTAGCTGGGAAATAGTAAGGGGAAGTAAGAAAATTAGGTTGAATACTATGCAGGGCCATGTCAGAATCTGATAAGGAGCACGTATATCATGCAATTTGAGAAAAATACCTATTATTTGCACAATGGAAACTCTGGGAATTAGTCCTTGCCTAACTCTTGTTGACTAGAAGGGTGGGGAGTGAGCACAGTGTTAAAAATAATGAGCAATACTGACTCACTGATACTGTTTCAAGCATATTAGTATTGCTTCTAAAATAGTGAATTCCTTAAACATCACATCTGATACTTTTGCCTGGAATTTAGTTAGTAACCACAGTCTGCTATGACGTGCAAGATGTCAAAAGGAGGTGAACATGCTTGAGTCACATTGCCTGTGGCCACAAAGGAACTTAACAGCTATTATCAAGTAATATAAGGAAATGAATAAAAAGACTGGGTGGAAGTTATAATGAGCATGACCAAAGTATGAAATTAAGCCTGCTGCAAAGTTCTGAATTATAACACTTACTACATAGTGTATATTGAGGGTTAAATTATCTACTCAGTTCTGGGAACTGAAGGCCAGGTTGGAGGGGGAGTGAAGTTGGAGAGAATCCAATGAATTAATGTACATCAAGCACCCTAAAACAGTAGCTGACCTATCAACAAATAGAGCTATCATTATCTACACTGACTTATTTTTTCCAAAACAAAATTTCAATTTAATTAGTACTTAGAGAAATAACAAAACATTTGAAAAGCATGTTTGCTATAAATTACTAAAATGAGAAATGAACAAAAGTTTTACAATAAAGATAGAAAAGTTCAGACATTGTGTGTAGTATGCAATAAAAATAGATGTTGCAAAAAATGCATGCTCTATCTGAATATTTATCCTATAGCTGAATTACAAATTACCTAAGCAATATTATAATTAATTCAGCCTAGTACCCGAGAAGGACCATGTGGTGACCATGTGGCTAACCAACTGAGCCTTTTAACATAGAGGCAAAATCAGTGACATCCCAAAGAAGTAGTCTCTCAATGTCAGAATGAGGAGGTGGATTCTCTCCCCCTTACTTGAGTCCTAATCTTTCTCTATAAAACCCCAGCAAACATCTAGAACTGGTTTAAATAATTGGCCTATGCGTGTCCCCGAAGTATTTCCCATTATACTGTTACTTCTGGTTTTAAAGCCCTATATAACTCTATAGGAGACAAGGATAGAGAATTATGAATTGGATGTGGTACCAAAAAGTATTGCAAAGGGGGAAATTTTGCTGCACTCACAGTACAGAACAAATTTATTTACCAGAGAGAGCTGTTGGTCCCAAGGGCTGCTACCCAGTGTACTTCCTGAGTCCCAGAATTAATACCAAAGGGCTGAGAAATAAAACTAGGGACTTTCCTCAATGGATAGGGTTGGCATGAGACTTTCCCAATGAATCAGTAGACAAATGAAGAAACAAACACTGAGAAACAAACACTCGTTTGATTTCATCTCAGATGGCCCATTGAATCCCCACAGATTAAAGCCAGGTATGGCCGGCCCTTGTACTCTACAAGGGTAAGTGATGAAGCATCTTGAAGAAAGGGATCTAAACTGTAGTACAGTCTTGAAGAGGTCTTAAGTTGGTAAGGAAGGAGGAGTCTGGGAGTGACTAAATGATCCAATGTCATAGAAATAAAAATATTAAGAACAAGAGTAATTCTGATTGCTTTATTAAAATGTTCCTCACAGAATTCTTTACAAAAACACTGTTTGCATAGAGTCATTCAACAAATATCAGGACCTTCTATGTATAGGACGCTGATCAAAAAAGGCAGAGGACCCGTGTTCTTGGTTCTTAATACAACTCCCAAATATTTAAAATTCTGAAAGATTAATTTAAAAATCTTAAATTTTACTTCACTTACAACTTCAATAGTGCTGAAATTTTGATTTAGTATTGTACTTGTAGTGCTGTCCCTATTTTTTTGTTCACAAGAACAAAAGCTTATTCTCTTGCTATGTGAAATATGTTCATATGTTTTAGCTATATATTAATATAAATATATGTGTGTAAACCAAAATTTTCTGAGTTCTAAGTAGATTTTAAAAGTTATGGAAACCAAATTAATATAAAAGTTAAAATTACAATACACTTAATCCACTAATTCTAAAATTTTGGATCATCTTTATGAAAGAAATGTACGAACTGTACCCTTGATTGTACCTCTACAAATAGGACATTTTCTTAGAGAAGGAGCACAGTCTTTGCATACGGCTAGATGGCCACAAGGAATAAACACTATGGACACTTCTTTGTCCATACACACTTTACATGTTCTTTCTTCTTGCAGTCTCCTCAATTGTTCTTCCACTGGTAAATCTAAGAAGAGAAACAAATTTTTAGTAAAAGGCAATTTGCTGCTTCTCCCCCAATGAAAAGCCAAGAAAATAAAAATAATGTTTTCTACTCATTTAAATCATTAATACTATTTTACCTGAAACGTTTTCTGTGGGAATATACTTTATGTCCTGTTGCACTAAGAGAGAAAAAGAAACAACATTACTATGACAAAAAGGTTAATATTTAGTCACAGAGTATAATTTAAAAAAATTTTGTTATTCTATTACAATTGTCCCAATTTTTCCCCTTTGCACTCCTCCACCCAACCCACCCTATGCAGGGTATATTTTTAAACCAACGGTTTAGACTCTGGCCAAATACTATAAATAACTGTCATAATGCCAAGGCAATGAAAGTCTTTGGTGCAATTAATAGTTTACAAATTAGATTGGATTGGATTTTTTCAATAATCACAAATTATTAACAACAGTATGTTTTTAATTGACCTAGAAAGTTCTCAGAACTAATTTTCCAGCACTCACCAAATAAACGCTTGTATAATGTGGGGTCAATTTCTTGTAGAGAGTTTCTGAATATGGTGGCTGCAAAATTTCCTTTTACTATAATAGTATCAATCAGTTCTCTGGCTTGCAAATATGTCTGTGTTTTCTGTCTAATAACATCATGTTCTTGTTTATTAATTACTTTGGCAATTAGTAGACTATCCAAGATTGGAAGCACACAAGTCAAATGCTGAAAAAGTGCCATTCTGTTTTTCCGGATACGTGATAGGTCATCTTTATAAAAAAGAAAGCAAACACAAACATGTTCAATCTCTGCTCACAAACTTTCTTCCAAACCTACACATATAACTGAATGAAAAACAACCATAATTCATAATAATGCATTAAAGTTGATTGCTAGGTTTGGGGGTACCTGATCCCCTGTGCCTAATAATAATGCTCCTTATAATAAGGACTAATACTGAGCATTGTGGTAAGCCCTGCATGTGTATTTACTCATCTCAGCTTCACAACAGCCCTGTAAGGTAGATGCAAGTATCTTAATTTAACAGAGGAGGAAACAGGGTGGCAAGCAAATTACCAGAGGACACAAAACGTCAAACCAAGGCAGCTTGGCATCATAATTTGTGCTCTTAACTATTTGGCAATACTTCTAAGCCTTTAACCAAATAAAATTTAGAACCTAATAAAATTAAAATTTCAATTCAATCTGGTCAAACTGAGAAAAAGTAAAATAAGTAAAATTAAAGTGATAAAACGTTTTTTCTTAAATTTTCATTTATCCATAAAATTCCTTTAAAATTCCATTTTAAGATGAAATTTTAATTATTACTATTTACCCAAATTAGACATGATATTACCATTACCTGACTATTTTGCAGCAAAAAGAGAAAGACACTAACAGCATTTTGAAAACTAAATCCTACTTGTCAATGACACATTCCTGTCCTTTAGGAACATTTTATTCTCTTTCAAGACCTAGAGTTTTGTATCTATTGGTAAAATGTTTCCTATTTTGAAACACTGAAACTTTATTATCTCTTTGGAAAATTACTTATGACTCTAATAATTAATTAGTTATATAGTTTTACAATGATCCATAAAGCTATTTGGATCAAATAACTAATGAAAGAAATTGGGTTGTCTAATGAAGAATTATTTGGGAGAGATAATTGTTAGATTTTTAGAAACACTGACTTTGGCAAGTAACAGGACACAGAAATAGAACCATTTAATAAAGAATAAAATATAGGGCTTAGTCAAAAAGATTAGAGACATACATTTTAAAGACAGTTGAAACTCTGAGCATAACTGAGAAAAGGACCGGGACCCAGAAAAGTGTTTGGCACAAGATCATTGCTCAATAACTGTATGTTGAACAAATGAACAACCAAGCCTTAGTAATTTAAAGAACAGTGGGAACAAAGAGGTGATAATCAGAGCTGGAGAATAATTAGAACTTAATTTATTCTGTTAAATTATGTATTAGAGAAAACAGTGATATATTAAAAAATTAAAATATAATTTACAGCTGATGTTGAAGTATATTAGTTTTTCAATCTAAGAGTAATTTTTCTAATTATATTTTACTTAACCTAATTAATAAGTTCTCTGAAATTTTTAAGATTTCTAAAATTGGATTGCTAGTGGCTGTGGAAAAAAGTCTCATTTCCAAGTCATAGAATGTATTCTGGCTTATAAGAGGTAAAAATACCTTTGAAGCATATTATTCTTTTATTCTGGGAAAATATCCTTAATTGCTTCTTTATTTACACACCTGTCAAGAAATTACTCACCCACTGTTCTTGGGAAAATATAAAATAATCAGTAAATGGAAGTATTTTCATTTACTCATTCAAAAAAATATTTCTTGAGCTAGGTAGTATGGATATTATGCTGAGCTGAGAAGCTAAGGGATCTTTTTGACAATGCAAACTATTGTATATTGTTGACTTGGGGTTATATCTGGGGACTTTGTTGACTTTCTTGGGAGGAAATATAAATATTTTATAGCTCGTTGGCTTTAGACTCCATGGGGCCTATAAACAATTGTGGAGATGGGTGTTCTCTTCTTTGAGCAATTGCTCACTGACGACCAATGGCCAGGACTGGAACACTGCAAGGACTCGCAGCCTGATCTTTACTTCACAGTGAAAAAGAGAACTTGAGTAAGGTGGGCAAAGATGAACTTGGGTGATTTTGCTGCTGAATTGGGGGTATGTAGGGCTGAATAATTCACACTTTGGCAAATATATAATATTGTATTACTATATGTATTATATATGCATTACTATAGTAATATATGTATATTACTATATGATACTGTAAAGACAGATACATTTGCCTGGGTTGGCGAGAAGACAAAGCTACTTTTGTGGGCAGGGCAGGTTTATTCAGGAATGGAGTGGACAATCTCACTGCAATCATCCTAGGAAGAAAGAGATCCCAGATGGCTTTGGACAAGTATAAGGGATAACTTCTTTTCTCCTTCTGGGCGTAGTGGACATTTGGGGACCTGAGCTTTGATAAAGGAAAACATGCTTCGGACTTTCCTAGTCATTTGTGTAAACTGGCCAGAGCTGTGCAGAGATGAACCAGAAGCTAGGAAGAGAGATTCATGAGGATGGGCTTACAGGCACCAAGAGAAGCCACATATAGTCACAGTTGTCAACCATTTGTTGTCAACTGAGCACAGTTGCCATTTGTGCTCAAGTGCCCTTCTGTTATTCCTAAATCTCCACAAGAGCTTGTTAAAAATTGCAGTCTGTTTTTAGCTGTGTTGAAAGGACTCTCAGGTCTGGTCCATGCTTGGGAAAGACTGGCAAACCTTCTCTCTGTCTAGGCCACAGTGATGAGAGCAATCAGAGCAACCAGATGCAATGGGACATGCTCTGAGGAAGAGAGTTTTTGTGAAATGCACTATAGTAAAGGCAAAAGAGTAGCAACAAAGCTAGTATGCAAGGACATGGGTAGTTGTCTTGAGAGAATGTGTAACAGCATCTCCTAGGACTCCCCTATATACTAGAGGGACACTAGGAAGGGAAACTTAGCTCTTGGGTGGGCAGGTGAGAGACTCAATCATAATTTGTATACTAATTTATAGCTACAGGTTAAGATATGCTGTTAGGCTAATAATAAAATTAATAATTGTCCCTGATTCCACCCTAATTTACAGCAAATGGGAGTGAGCAACTAGCCTGGGGTCACAAATATGCCATGAATAATTACATATACAGTCAATTACCCAGAGTAAAATAAATTAAGAAAAAGCAGGAAAAATGCTTTCATTCAATATATACATTTTCAATTTACTAAGCAATTCAAATATACTTTAATGTGAAGTTTTTCAGAATTCAAATTCAGAATACTGAACATAAGAAAAATCTGATTAAATTGACTATTTTCAGTAACTTAAATACAATGACTTCAAATTCTTATAGAAATAGAAGCTGTACTAATAAATATGTGTACCTGATTCTTCTTCCTCAGTTGCTCTTTCTTTCTCTTCTTCCCTTATTTCATCTTCAGCATTAAGTAAATCTAATACAAGATCACTGACGACTTTATAATTCTCTCCAGTTGTTAGGATTTTACTCTGAACTGTCTGTTTAACCAGCCTTCTACTGAAGCCCATTTCCAAAGCAGCTTTAACGACAGGTGTATTCATCATGATTGCATCTTCTGAATGGTTTTCTCCAGGTCCATAATGAATAACTACATGGAATAAAGAATTTAACATATATTGTGATAATCTGAATATTTTTAAAATTGAAAGTTATTACAATATCAAAAGTATAAAGCCCCCAAAATATATGGGCACTATTTTGTATTAATTTTGTTAAATTTAAAATAATGAGCCTGGCCAGTGTGGCTCAATTGGTTGGGCACAGTCCTGCAAACCAAAAGGTCGCCAGTTTAATTCCCAGTCAGGGCACATGCCTGGGTTGCACATTTGGTCCCCAGTGAGGGTGCTCTCTCACATTGATGTTTCTCTCCCTCTCTATATCCCTCCCTTCCCCTCTCTCTAAAATCAAAAATAAAGATAAAATTCATTGAAAATAATGATATACATGTTGAGTTACTAGAATAAGAATATAGAATATTGTATTCAGATACGACATATGCATTATCTAGCATAACTATGAGTGGGAGAAAGAAATGGAATGTCAGCGAGAACTCCCAACAGAATAAGGTTCTTTTTTTCCCATGTTGAATGAAAAAATGAGCTTTCTAAATCAAATGTTTCACATATTTTAAAAGAGACCATTGTCCTCATTCACCTTCATTACTGCAATGGCCTCTGTCAGTATTATGCCCATCTAGTTCATTCTCAACTTTGCAACTGTTGACTTTTTAAAAACCCAGATCTGACTGTGTCACACTCTTAAATTCGATCAACAATTCCATTGTTCTTAGGATAACATTCAATTGTGGCTTGTAAGATCTCACACCTTATCTAGACCCGGTTTACATCTTCATCCTCATCTCTCACCACTTGTTCATTCCCACTTTGCACTCTAGCCCAGAAGTCACAAATTCTGCCTGCAGTTCTGACTACTTTTATTGCCAACCTGATTCATTCATTTACCTGTCTGCAAATCCTACATCTGGCCATAAAGAATTCTGTTCAACCCTTCAATGTGCTTGTTCTCTTTTGTCATTTAAGTCTTTCATGGGCTATTCTTTCTGCCTTTTCCTCCCTTTGTCTTCTGGTTAACTGCTACTACTCTTCCCTTTGATTCTGTGATAAGGCAAATACCTCCTCTAATCTGAAGCTTTTTCTGATCTTCATCTTCTGAGTCTAGGTTAAATGTCTCTTATTCACTCTCATAGCACTTAGCTTTCCCACTATATCCCTCTCTCCTGTCTTTGCATTTGTCTGTATCCCTTCACCAGTTAGGTCATGAGAACAGGACTTATGTTTTTCCTGTTCTGTTTTATATCCTCAGAATAGCAGATACACAATAAGTATTTATTGAATTGACTGCATACTCGATAATAGAGTTGAAGAGCTTGTTCAAATATTGGCTCTGTCACCTTTTAGGTTTAAGGTGATGGACAGATCACTTAACCTCTCTGAGCCTTAGGGTCACTATTGCAAAATGGAAATAATATCTGTGCCCTTTCCATTTCACAGAAAGGATATGTGAGCAATCGAAAGTCATAGTGCGTCTATTTCGGTCTGAGAACAAGAGTTAGACTGGATGTATATAGTTCTCAAAACAACAGATGCTCAAGCACCACCTTTCGATACTATGATTCAGTTAAGGAAGTTTGAAGTGGAGACTAGAAATCTGTAATATTTTTTAAAGTTCCTTAGGCAACTATGGTATACCCTAAAGTTTGAGAAATACCCACTTACTATATTTGAAAAAGCACTTTAAATTATAAATCAAGACAAAGGTACATTATAACTCTTATCAAATTTCAATCTTAACAGTACCAAGTGGTTCTATTTAAATGTTACAACTGTTATCATTATACATACTTGGTGACTCTGCATTTTCATCTTCTGGATTGTCTGAAGTAGATAACAGCTACAGGGGGAAATAAGGTATAAAAATTAAAACAGAAATCTTATCCTGTCCATTGCAAATAAAAAAAAGAATCAGGAGACCTATTTATTCAACTTACTGTAAACTGACTTGTTTATTGACAATATAATTTTTCATGTCAAAAGCACTATTTTATTTACATGTAGCAGTAATTTCCTAAGCCATAAACTAATAGAGCTTCTTCGTGTATGTGTATATTAACAAATAAATTCTATTTTCATTAAGGCAGGATAAGGGCTAGACCTTTTCAGTGATCTTTGACACAATCATTTTTAGCCTTTCATCCCAAAGATCTTACATTTCCTGGGTCATCCTTTGGGATATGCTGGACCTTTAAAGTTCCATTTACTATGGCTAGAAAGTGTTTGATGCCCAAACACTATAGAAATTCTTATTTGCTTTTCCAGGAAGATTAGAAAGAGCAATACAATTCTTTCTCAAATCTTTTTAAGAAGAATTTGTATAGTAAACCATTATAATTCTACTATCCCATCTAATTTTTTCTCAAATGATTTTACTGCAACTTTATTAGAAAAATATTTAAAGAGAAATATAACTTAAATATTATTTTTCAGGAGGTTTTTAATTCTGGATCTGTTTTTATCCTAAGAATAATACCTCCTAAAATTTACTTTAATGAAATGAGGAAAGAATAAGGAAGCTGAACACATTTTCTAATACATAGCTATTCACAAGTCTGACATTTCCCAGATAACACACATCCCTTGTCAAATTTAAGTGTAGAGTCTAAATCATGCTTATTATAAAAAAGAAAACTTTTTTTTTAATTTAAAAAAAGATATCAAAATAAAAATCAGTTCCAGTAACAAGGAAAATGGGGACAGACTCATAGATGGAGAGCAGGATGACAGCTAGCGAGGCGGGGGCGCGTGATGGGGTGGAGGGATTGAGCGAAAAGTTGAAAGGACTTGCGGACGTGGACAGCAGTGTGGTGGTTGCTGGGGGAGAGAGGTATAAGGGGACTGAATGGTAATGGAAAAAATACAATACAGATTAAATCAAAATAAAAATACAAAAATAAAAATAAAATTTAAAAAAACATTAACAAAGAAAATGTATTTTTAAAGCAACTCTTGCCTTTGCAGTAAAATACTACTCTCTGTAATTATTAGAAAATAATTTATCTGTTGTTAACCAGAGATTTAAAAAGAAGAAAGTCTCTACCTGTTCAAGCAGATAAGGGTAACTGGCTTGAATTCGACTGATGAACTCTTGTCCTTTAACTCGTATCAAGTACTCACAGCTAAAATGTAAACAAAATTAAGTTTGGGGAGTTAATTTAATCTGGCCATTTGTAGACTGGTCATATTTTTGAATAACATAAATATACATATAACCACTTGATTATTCATTTAGCATAGGGGAAGTGGTAAGAGATACCAAAGTCAAAGGCAAAGATGATGTAAGCAAGAGGAAGGCTCTAACAGTAATCTGCCAAGGCTGAAGAGGATATGAGTCACACACTGTCAGTCTATGGTAGATGAGTTAGGCTGCCTCCACTCAGAGTTCCTAGCTGCTCTCTTCAACTATTCCAACATTCCTAAAAACACCCTGAACATTAAGAACAAAGAGACAGGTAGAAAGTTATCTCATAATTGATATTGTTGATAAAAAGCTTTGTATGTTTAACAGATGAAAATATACCAAGAGGGACAAAAGAAGGAATAAGCAAACTGGACACATTTTCTAATAAGTAGATATTCACAAGTTTGACATTTTCTAGATAATATACATTCAGTGTCAAATTTAAGTACTGAATGAGTTCATGATAATAGCAAAGTAAATTGACCATTCTTTTTATCTATTCATAAAATTACCAGAATGGAAAGTTAACAGCACTTTTTAAAACACCTATGTAAAGTGTTCTTTATAATCTTCACAATTTTTAAAATCTCAAATATTTGAGGAGTACAAAGCTGATATAAATGAAGATGAAGTATTATATTTAAAAATATATGTAAGGAAAAGAAGTTAGGATACTAAGGTTAGTAATCAAATAAAAATACTACAACTTTTGACCATGAAAAACATAATTATAGGCCACCTGATTTCGACTGAAAAAACGGGGGGGCTCTAAACAAGTATGGAATAATCACAAGTGTACGACATGACAATAAGATGCTGTGTAGTAATCAAAACAGATGACATGGGTCTCTATTTACCCTAATCACCAATTTAATATTGCAACCTGCCTGGTGCTTCTGATCTCCCTTACCCTGCTCTCTTTTTTTCTTTTATCCACAGTACTTATTATCTTCCAACATGCTACATAACCTACTTTTCAAGCTTATATTGTCTGCCCTCTCCTGCTGTAAAATCAACTTATGAAACCAGAAGTCTTGTTTTTGTTCCACTGAGCATTTTAAGAACCTGGAACAATGCCTGGCAATAGGTGATCAATTATTTCTTTAAAGTATATTTTATTGATTATGCTATTACAGCTGTCCTAATTTTTCCCCTTTATCTCCCTCCACCTAATTCTCCCTTTCCCGCCAGCATTCCCCCCCTTAGTTCATGTCCATTGGTTAAACCATGTAAGTTCTCTGGCTTCTCCATTTCCTGTATGTTCTTAACATTCCCCTGTCTATTCTGTACCTACACAATTATACATTTTCCCCATTCTCCCCCATTCATTTTCCCCATTCTCCCCCTTCTCCTCCCAGCTGATAACCCTCCAAATGATCTCCATATCTAAGGTTCTATTCATGTTCTAGTTGTTTGCTTAGTTTACTTGTTTTTTATATTCAGGTGTTGATAGCTGTGTCAATTAATATTATTGAATGTTAAATGAATAGAAATATATGCAGACATAATGTTAACTGAAAATAAGCTTCAAAGCAGTATATACAATATCTAATTCCTCTAGTAAAATTATATACATTTATATATGTACATATGCATAAAGAGATTCTGGAGGGATGTTCACTAAAACAGTAACTAGTCACCTTTAGTTTGTGAATTCTGGACATTTTACATTTTTTTGTCTCTGTACGTGTCTACAACATGTGATTTGGTTTTTTAATGAACATATAATATGTTAAAATATATATTAATTACACCAAAAATCCTAAACCTATTTCTTCTTTGTCTTAAATATTCATCAAAACATTTTAAGTAATTATTTTTCTAAGTAATCCATCCATCTATCCTAAATTTATTCACAAATGTATTTTTGAAACAAAGAAGAAAGTAACAGCTGATAATAAGGTACACATATATAAGCCATCTCATGATAATCAACCCATTTGCAAAGAGAATATCAAAACAATTACCTTGGAAACCACTTGGCATGTTCCACCCATGGGTCATCTCCAGGTTCCCAACACCTCAGTCCACCATCACAGCAAAAGCATTTGACATCATCATTGTAACCTAAAATTAATTTTGGACCAAAACTAATAAATACATATAACTGGCCCACTAAAATGCATAAAGCATGTTGAATTTTTAAATTATTATTATCAGATTAAGCTTCTTACCCATATAATAAAAACCAGCACTTGCAAGCTCCTCAGGATGGACTGGAACACTAGGGGGCCAGTTACAGAATGTTCTGTACCGGGCAGCCTGCGTCTGCATGCTCAGATTGGAAACACTGTATCTTGAAGTGTCTTGAGGCTGACTTTCTAGAAATGGGCATTTGGGGAAATGTCTCAGGTGTTCTAACATAGCATCATCATTTGGTTCCCAATTGCTCAATTTTCCACCACAGGCAAAGCAAGCCACTCTGTCTCCGGGTCCTATGTAGTAAAAACCTGCTTTTGCCAGATCTGTTGGCGACAGAAAGGTCAATGGCCACATCTGGAAAGTAAGTAATCTGGAGTTTTCAGTATTCATTAGACAATGGTTGGAACTTCTCAAGGCAGAAATATCTTGATTTGCTTCGGAGTTTACAGGACTTGAGGGGAAGCTTGAATAAGAGCCACTGAAGTAACCAATGTTTTCTGAACTTGGAAGTAATGAATGTGTGGAAGTTGTTATTGAAAATGGCAAATTAAGCTGGGAGGTGGCTCCCGAAATGTTACCTGAATTTAGTTTCTGAACAAAGGTACAGCTAGGATACAACTTTTTATGCTTTTCAATAGGATTGTCTCCTTGTTTCCAGTTATCCAGCATCAGGCCACAACAGAAGCATTTGACCTTGTCGTTCACACCAGTGTAATAAAAACCAGCTCGAGCAAGACTCCTTTCTGAGACAGGAACGCCGGTGGGGAAAGTCGAATACGTAGACATTCGAAACAGTTCACATGAAAAGTCATATTTCAATTCAAACATGTTGGCGTTTTTCATCAAATTGGATAAGAACTTGCTGTCTTCTACTATATTCATAAGGAAATGGATGGGGAGAAAAGGGACTAGCCTTTCTCTAGGGAGGTAGTTTTGTGCATGACTTTTGATTTTTGTTAGTTTTAGTACTAGGTTGAACACCTAGAATGGGAAATCTTCTGTTCTTTTTTCTCCTGTCTTCAGGGTTTCAGCACAGCGAGATTAAAATCCTATACTGATACATCTTAAGGGACAATTACAAGTTAAGAGCACCTTTGTATGATCATACAATGCAAATGTGATGCTAAACAGTACCTGGTGATGAAATTAAAACCCTTCATAAAAGTGTAGAGTGCTTTAGGTCATCACGATGCCACTTAGTGTCAGGTATTCCACAGGTAGGTCAACTTCGCCGCTAGCACGCATCAGTGACATTCAGCCAGCCTAAAGATAAAATGTCTGACTCAGCTAGCTTGCTTTCATGGTGGAAAGTTATGCTCTATAAGTACTCTATAGAAAAAAATATTCAAACTATGTTTATTTTGCTTTATTTAAATTGTGAAATTTGGTAGCTAGGGGAAAAAAGCATTAAGAGGAAAGGAATGCATTACCATATTTCACTGATTATAAAATGTATGTTTTAATATATCTGGTATTGAAGGGCATCTTACAATAAGTGCTGTATCATATTTAATTAGCAGCATTTTCACTCCTCAGAGGTATATAGAATAATGATATACCTTATAACTGATGACATCTTACATTCAATGAAATACAGAATATGCCAAATCTTGCTCAAATTAAGTATTTTTTCTTCCTTCAATCACTTTTATAGGGAGAACAAATCAATCTAAAATTTTCTTCCAGATAGAGTTTAAGTAGTAACAGAATTGACTGATATATCTTAAGGCCTGTTTTAAGATTTATTAAATAAGAATTATTTCACATAGATAGGAACCTAGTTGCTTCATAATAATGATACCATTAAATCTTAGCAAATTAGATGTTCTATTTTAAATAAATTATCAGAGATGAATATATTTGCTCAACAGGTCTTTTAAATTTGCCTTCATGCTGTTGAGAGCCAGTATCAAATCTTCTACTCAGATAGTGGATTTATTTTTAAAACTGTCAAAAGTCAAGAATGCTGAGTCTATAGGCTAAGTTGGATAAGCAAATGGTACAAATATGGCTTTGGTCAGAAATTTTTTCCCAGGTGGCATACTTTGAACTGGAATTTATCAAGACAAAAAACAATAAATTTATTTTGTCACAATCTATTCCTTTTGAACAGAGACCTCCTAAAAACTTAGACTAACTCAATTATGACTAGCTTGTAGGTAATAGGATCTGAAACAATAGTATCAGCAATGATCAATAAACAAGTCATTTTGGTTTTTCCAGCAGTGATTTGCAAACGTGGTTTCCTGGTCCTGCAGATGTTGGGATTTTTCTACCTTCCTTCCTTTCTTTTCTTTGGGGGGGATGCTGGGATTTTCTACTAAAGATTTTAATGTTTTATTTCCACTTGGCAATAGAAACATATCTCAAAGGTGAGTTATGTCTAACTTCAGCTTTCCTTCCACTGGTCAAAAATTTTACACATTGTTATAAAAAGCTTTCTGGTGTTTATTATTATCATCTCTGTGTAAATTTTCATTCTGAATAAGTTTGTTCCTTCACCAAAATATAACCGTCTAGCCATCATTTTTATTCTTACTATTCTCAGAGATAATAGCCCATTTGAACAAACTAAATTTTAGACTTTTAAAATACCGATAGTCTTATCATGGTTAGATAATTTCTTCACCAATCATCAAATTCATCTTTCCTACTTTCTTTAAATTTGTTGTACCTATTAAAAAGTTTTGTTCTTGACATTTTTTTGTCATTGTAGGAGCCAGAGTTCTCATTTGCATAGTCCTCTAATTTACCAGGAGGTTGAATATCAACTTTTTGGTTTAGATAACTGTCTTTCATTTTTAAATCTTTAACAAACACAGGTACTTTTTTCTTTTCTACACAGCAGCCAGCGGTAGACTGCCTCGCCAATTTTGAAGAGTGCTAAAACAATGTGTCCCAAGTACAATCCCTTCTCCACAGCCAAATTCAAAATCAAACTCAATATTACTTTATAGTTATACCTCATATAATTAGATCATATTTTTTAAATTATAACATTCTTTGGATGCTACAAACTCTAGTTAACTACTTAATTTGTTTATTCATGCACAAAACTACCTCCCAGAGATTAGACTACGTCCCTTAAGAGTTTTAGGCCTCCATTCTGAGCTGTTCTGATTTATAGAAAAAAAGGGGAAAATTTTATAAGTAGAAGAGTTCACCTCCTTTGAAAAAACCTGTTTAAAAAAAAAGAGAGAGAAATTTTAAAAGTCAAATAACTCATAGAAGTAACACAATGATTTTTTTAAAAAGCATTTTCTCCAAAATAGAGCACTAGTACTTGTCGACCGTGCCCTGCAGGCAAGGCGCTGCCCCAGGTGTGGCGGGGGCCCAGCAATCCCGGACAAAACCAGGGCGCTCGGACGGGGAGCCAGCAGAGGTACTGGGTCTGGCTTTCACAGAACTGAACTATATTTTAGTAAGTTTTTTAACTTATTTATTTTGAAATTAATTTATACTTAGAGAAACCTTACAAAAATAACAGTTATTTTTGTAGCATGTAGGAATATTCTTCTTTTCCACAAGGAAAAATGGTGCTCTCTTCTTTTCTCTAAACATGTGTTCCTCTTTGACTACCTTTCCTTTTTGTTACTTTTGATAGATACAGGCATTAGAACAGTTAGACTTTCCTCATAATTCTACTGGAAGAAAACCAATAGTGACAGCTCAACATCTGTGTACACAACATCTCCAAAGTTAACATCTTCCATAACCACAGTATAATTAATAGGAACCAGGAAATTAACATTGATACAATGTTGCTTAATAATCTGCATGCTTTATATGAACTTCACAAGTTTTCCAAATAAGTACACTTTTGTACCACAGTATTTTTAGAAGTTTTAGTTAATTAAAAAGTAAGGGATTTCCTGTAACATTCTAAATTCTAGCTATTCTCTTGAAAAACCTGACCCATGGACAAAGCCAAAGTGGGGAAGGATTGAGGGTGGGAGGCTGGGGAAAGTGGTGGCGGGAAAATGGAGACAAATGTATTCAAACAATTAATAAAAAGAAAAGCAATCAGTCCACATGGGGCCTATATTCCTGCATAGGCACACGAGCCAGCTCTGAGCAGCAACTGTACCTTTTAGGGAGACACGTCCTTTCCAGTGTGGCACTGTACTTTGACTCCCTGACATGGAGACTCACTGTCAATTGTTATTTGTCACTGAGCTGTCACTATTGGTTTTCTTACAGTAGAACTATGAGGAAAATCTAACTGTTCTAATGCCTGTATCTATCAAAAGTAATAAAAAGGAAAGGTAGACAAAAAGGAACACGTTTAGAGAAAAAAAGAGAGCACCATTTTTCCTTGTGGAAAAGAAGAATATTCCTACATGCTACATACGTAAATAAAGTGTGTTTTTGTTTAAAAGAGACACCCACAGTTCTGCTCATTTATACCACCTGCCTGGCCCCTATGCATTTAAGATTGCAAACCTCTTCCACAAACTTTTCCCTAAAGAAGCTTTGGTGTGGAAACAAGGCATATGTTTGTGGATATTTAGGCAATGGTTCTAAAATAAGTATACAGAAATATGCCAAGATGCCAACCCTGGATCAATGCGAACTGTCTTAATCATTTCTGATATCTAGGCTTCCAACAGCTGCTGGAGAAGATCTGGGACCTTGCAGACTGGGGCATGCACGACTTCAGGCAGCACCTTGGCTGGCCCTTCCTCATCCCTAACAATTCTACTTAACCTTCGTCAGCTTCCTATCCCACTGCTCTATGCAACTCTTCTAAACCTTCAATTCCTTCCTCAAATTTCTCCTCCACTGCTCCCCATCTTGCTTTCAGTAGATGGCTTTGCCTTCTGTTCCTCAAAGAAATGAGACATTACCAAGCAGAAATCCTTTAACATCCTCAGATCCATGCCTTTTGCTCACAACTTACTTGCTACCTCAGATAACAACCCTTGCCCCTTTACAGGTCCCATCCTCTCCCACTGCCTCAGAAATCGTGCTCTTTACCACATCCCCCTCATTTGTTCGACTCTCTCTCTTCTTTTCCTTCAACACAACAAACATACTTAAGTCTGTCCTAGCTCTCAAATAAAAACACACCAAAAAAAAAAATCCTCTTTGAACCCCACTTTCCAAACTAGCAACTATCCTGTATCTCATTTTCTTTTCACAGCCAAGCAAATTGAACAGGTTCCTATGGTTAAGGTCTCCCACTACAATTGGCCTTAGCCAGCACCACTTAAAACTAATCTCAATAATAATAAAACCAATAGCTTCTTTGTCAAAACCAATGGAAATTTTTGTCTGATACTGGGACCCATTTCCTCTTAAAAATATTCTACCCTCTTGGATTTCTGATACCATTCTATTGGAATTCCTCTTTCCTTGCGGTTCCTTCACAGTTTGGCTCAAGTCCCCCCAACATCTTCTATTCTTATTCCTATGATTTCCAGGGGGCAACCTCCCTGAGCCCAGGACTGTTGGGTGTCTCTAGCTTCTTGGTCAGGTAGCATATCGTCTTTGACAGTAGAGGATGTTTGTCTTTTTTTTTCTGCCTTCCCCTAGACTGTGAGCTCCTTCAGATAACAACTATGTTTCAACAATGTACCAGCCCTTCCAAACACAATATCCAGCTGGCCTGATATTATAATGAAGACACTCAGACATTTTGTTGAAGATAAATGTTAGCAAACTTGACTGAGTCCCCCATGACCACAATACCCTAATTTGCATGGTATTAAGGAAATAAATTTTATATTTATGACCACAAGGTCTGAATAGTGACCGTTCAATATCAGGCTTTGGAGTCAGACATCTTGGGCTTCCAGTGCCATTCAGTATTCCCCAACCAGGGTGTGTAACCTTGGGCAAGTGAATTTCCCTGAGCCTGAGTTACCTCATAGTTAATAGAGCTAATTATAGTAATTGCTTCTTAAGGTTGTGAGAACACAACCTTAAAATCTTCGGAGGGGGTGCTAGCATATACTAGGTATTAGCAACACTTAATGTTAGCAATAAAGGCAAACTAAGTTAATATTATTGTTAGTTACTTTAACATCAGACAAATGCCTCCAGCCCTTTACTAATTAAATTAAGAATACTGAAGAATTCCGATTCCGATCATCAGCAAAACTATAAAAAAAAAAACCCCAACTATCTTTGTGCTGCCACTTAGGAATATTCCTACATTTATTCATTCAATATTTTACTGAGCTTTTACAATGCAAAGCTTTGCTTTAGGCTCAGCTCTGAAGCTTATTTGGCATCCTCAAAGACCTGGTGATATCTCTTGGCAAGCAAATCAAAACAAATATCAAAGCTTCCCCAGTCCACTGGCTCATCCAAAAAGTAAAATAGAACTGAACATCCAGCAGGAAGGCGGAACGAAGCGAGTGTCTGCAAAGGCAGCGCGGGGCTGCCTGCACCGCAAGCTCCCTGGACTCCTGCGGCCCGCGCCCAGCGCCTCCCGGAGGGTTGACTGCACAGCGGAAAGACGGCGCAGGCTTGCAGAGGACCCAGTCTTTCTCCAATCCCTGGTGTGCTCGAGAGCCGACCTGGAGCCGGCCTCTAGGCTCTACAGCGGTGTTTACGACCGGGCCATCCCCCTCCCCCGACCCTCGTTCGCCGCCGCTGGCCCCGCGCGCTTCTAGGCCCCCCAGCCGAAGCCTCGGGTCCGCCCGGGCTGGAGGCTGGGGAGGAGTACACGCGTCCGCGCATGAGCACTCAGCCTCACAGCCGCCCTCGTCACCCACCTGCTGCCCTGCGGCTAACGTGCGCTAGCAAGACCTGCCTGCCAAGTCTTCTCGATGACAACCGTCGCCCCGGCTTCTTCCGGCTGTTCGTAAGGGCTAGAGGTCCACACTGCCTGTTAATATTTCACCTCCGCTCTCCCCACCCCCACCTACACACAAGACACACCCGTGCCCTAAACTCCTCCCAGTGGTTGGTGCTTTCCTCTTAGGACTTAGGGGAACTCCAGCGGTAATAACCACAAACACTTCCCCTTAATCACTCACTTGGGGATTTCCATGACCCTAAAAGCGCGATTATTTCTAAACCTCGGGGTATCCGCGAGACATTTACTGAAAGGATAAGCTCTGTTTCATTGTTCGTGGGTCAGAGGAAATAGTGATAACCTATGCAGAGAAGACGATCATGGGTCATCTTGACTGGAAATGGTCCATCTCCCTTATCTGCATTTTTTTAAAAAACCCATGAAACTTGGCGAAACGTTTCTGATCATTTTTACTTTTTGGTCTAATTGAGAAAGTAAGGCATGAATGAAAATGCAGAGGCATGCAAAAAAATCACATGATTGTCCTTTTCAGTTTATTTTTAGTGTTTTAAAGATTGAGATCACCTTGTTAGTTTCCTACACTAAAACTTTTTTGTTGGTTGGTTATTTTTATAACTGGGGTAGAGTTGGCTATTAAAAAATTTCACCTTTGGTTTCAACAGGAAGATCTCTAAATTACCGTGATATTTTCATGGAAACTTGAAGTCTGAGTCTCATTGCATTGCCTATTTTCCTCAACGTTCCTTATGTAAGCAATTTTCTTTAAGGACGGTGCCTGCCAGGGTAAGAGATGAATTGGAAGAACTCACTTGATTTTCCTATCTCCCAGTAGATCAAAGATAATCGGGAACCAAAAGCAGAACCCATAATATTATTCATGAATTCATCAGAAAGGATGCCCATTTCGTTCAGTACAGCTAGGATAAGCTCCAGTTAGAGTTTTAGTGGGAATTTTATTAAAAAAGATTATCGTGTAGAGATTTCAATCCACTTTTGAGCCTGCTTAGTGAAAACTTTATAAGCCATTTTCAACTTGCCTTTGAGATGATCGAAAACATTTTGTGGTCCTTATACACTTTTGATCATGTACTCACCAAAAGTATTTTGAAAAACTATATTCCCCTACACATTTTTACCTTGACATTAAAACATAAAAGTTGTGATAATTGCAAAGGAACAACAAAATGTAAACATAGATATTTTAGAATAAAACTTGTCCAGCTCTCTTTTAAATGTATTCAGTGGACTGCAAATACCATAGCCACCTGATATCCACCATCATCCATTCAATAATTAATATATCTAATAATTGAAAATTTTATATTATTTACCTTTGGCACTTGAACATTGTACTTTACTTCTCCCACAGAATTTCAATATATATAGTCAGACATCTTCATGATCACTCTGGCACATATTTCTGAAACTATGTATAAATTAAAATTTAATATTTTTCCTGTGACCTAAGCCTCTAAGTATTAAAGAAAACTATCACCTTGGTTGCATTATCATTTATATTACTTTTGATACTTATTACACAATTGGTCAAAACAATATCATTATAAATGTTGATAATTCCTAAAGATAAGTAAAATTCTTTTACAAATGCACTCTTAATGGGGTTGCAGGTTATATTTTAACAATTTATTCAAGTGTGTGTTCACAAATAGTACCTATTACTGAAATATGATAGGGTTCACATAGATTCAGTTCCTTTTTCTCATTTCTAAAGATTCGAAGTATTGAAATTTTTTTTTTCACATAAGTAAGTAGATAGGCCCAGAAGATGTTGTTATATCAATCTTCTCACAATTTTTTGAACATTTGATTTATGGCCCAAAAGTCATTTACTGATCTTTAATCCAAATATGTAATTAATTATTAGTAGACAGCTCAATTTAGTTTAAATCCGTGACTTGGAAACAACAGACTTTTGCTCTCCATGTCAGGTTTTCAGAGTTAGCAAATTAAAATACAAGGCACTTAGTTAAATTTAAACTTGAGAGAATCAACAAATCATGTAACTCATTATTCATTGATTCTCTGAAATTCAAATTTAACTGGGTGTTCTATGTTTTACCTGGCAACTCTATATCCAGATGTTAGAGTCATTCATTTTCCCAACACTAACAATGAGTATTTCTAATTGTCCAAGAAAATTTTATACCCATTTTAAAACCAAGAATGGGAGAGGTGAGCCAGTAATTTTTTTTTTAAGAGAAAATCATTGTGAAAACATTGGTAAGAAGACAGAAGAAACCTGGCAACCATAGCTCTTGTTTTCAGGCAGATCAATTTTAGGAAAAATTATATGTGGAAAACTGGCCTATGCAAATATTACATTAGATTGTTAATTATCTGAAGCCTTTTTGAATTGCCACTTACACATTGTTAAATCTTTATAAAGAGTTTGTACCCAAAAGAACACTTATCCCAATTTAAAGACAATGGCCTAAGAAATCCTGAACTGAGATTCCCAAGCTCTTCCAATTAATAATGACTGTTGTGATGAGACCTTTCAGGACCTGGAGTGGATCAATGTGTCTCCTTTGCAACATTTTACACAACTCTAATTGCTGATTTTTTAAAAAGTACAATAATTGTTTACCTGTAACCATTCTAAGTTGTATATAAGCAAGGGCTGTATATATTTTGTTCACAGCATTATACTAGTACTATCAGGGCAAATAGTAGGTGCTCAATAAATCATCGTTGATTTACAAAGATGGAGTCAATCTATCCACTTAGGATTACTTTATTCTAAAACTGTACCCAAATGTTTAATAGTGTGACATTTCCCCCTCTAATCCTTTGAATATTCCTAAATATATTTTCTCTCCAATTACTCCTTTAGAGACAGAAATAGGAAGGAAATACTTGAGAAAAGTGACAAAGTATACACATAGTACCACTACTACCTCTAGTTCTCCAGTTTCCTTCTACTGTCAATGTGTAAGTAAGGTATAAGTGTGTGAGAGGGTTTTTCACTCCATTCCCGGTTTGGAATTTTGGTAACTCTTAGCAGCGGTATGTTGTCAATATCCTATTATTAAATAATCGACTTTAAAGTATTTTTCCCTTTGAGGGTAATCATGCTAAAAACTTCTTTCTCTGGAAGAAATTTCAAATAAAAGTAATGTGGTAACAACTGCCAACCTAATGCTATTGCACTGTAACTTTCAAAATTTTTAATTAAAAAAATACATAAAGATTCTTCTCAGGAATCTAGAAATGAAAGTAAAAGTAAAATCTAACAAAGGGAACATGCCATTCTGATTCCAAAGTAAAATGAGAGCAAATGCCAGGAATTTCTTTGTCTGTTGGCAACTTTCTATCTTGCAAATAAAATACAGCCACATCAGCCTTGAACAAGTGCTGGTGAAGATATTTACAAATAAATATTTTTCATGTAGGCAGTTTTCAATTAATGAAGTTTACCCTTGTAAATTGTGGCTTAAGTTTTAAAAATTTTTTTAGTTACTAATTTTAAAGAGAGAAGAACAGAGAGAGAGAGAAAGAGAGAGAGAGATTTATTGTTTCACTTATTTATGCATTCATTCATTGGTTGATTCTTGCATGTGCCCTGACCAGGGATCCAACCCGCAAATTTGGCGTGTTGGAATGACACTTTAAGCAGCTGAGCTACCTGGCCAGGGCAATGGTGGCTTACTTTTCATTTTTGTCCGATGGTTCTTCAGTAACATATAATTTAGATAACTCTAACAACATGATTTAGGTAGTCTAAAGTGTACACAATTTAATTGAACAGCTCCTGGATTTTAACAAGTATGTATACTTGGGTGACCATTAACCAGACTAGGATCAAGAAAATTCTCCATCACCCAAGAATATTCTTTTATGCCTTTTTCCAGTCAATACCTATCAAATCTACCATCCTCTTACCTCAACCATGATTCTGATTTTTATCACCATAGATTTGTCTGTTCTTGAACTTCATATAACTTGAATCATCTGGTGTGTACTCATAAAGGCTTCTTTCTAACATGTTTTTATTCTCATCCCATTGTAGCGAAGTAGTAGTTTGTTCTTCGAATCGCCATGTAGTATTCCACTGGATGAATACACCGTAATTTGTTTATGCATTCTCCTGCTGATGGATAATTGGGTTTCCTGGTTTGATCCTTTATGAACAGTAAAGCTTTAAACATTTCAGTTCAAGTCTGTTAGTGAATCTATGAATTCATTTCTGTTGCGTTCAAACACCTGGACATGTATTTGCCATTGAATATGTGTATATTTACTTTTATTAGAAAGTGCCAAAAACTTTTACAAAGTATTTACACCATTTTACACTCCCAGCAGCAATATATAACAATTTTGGTTTCTCAACATTCTTACTAAGACTTAGTATTGTCAACTGCTTAAGTTTGAGCTCTTCTTTTGTGTTTGTAATGATATCTCATTTTGCTTTTAATTTTTATTTCTGTATAAAAATTAATGATGTTTAATATATTTTTATTAATATATTTTTGTTTAGCTTTTTGATGATTTATATATCACTTTTTGTGAAGTGTTTGCTCAAATCTTTCATCCATTTATAAACTGAATTGGTTGACTTTTTATCATTGATTTAAGGGAGTTCTTTATATTCTGGATGAGTCCTCTGATATGTGACTTATGAATATCTTCTTCAAATTGGTGGCTTGACTTTGCCTTTGTGAACAGTTTGTTTTAATGAATAGAATATTTTAATTCTGATGAAGTCTAATTTAACAATTTTTTTATCTATAGTGCATTGTATATGCCATTTAAGAAATATTTACCTATTTAAACATCCTAGTTTCTTCTATTTTTTTTAAAGCTTTGTGACATTAGCTTTTACACTTAAGATGATGATTTATCTCAAATTAATTTTTCCAGAGGATATGAATTGAGGGCCAAGGTTTATTTTTTCTCAAAGTATTATTCCATCACAATTTATTGAAAAGACCTAATTCCCCATTGAATTGCTTTAGCGTCTTTGTCAAAAAATCAGTTGAACTTATATTTGAGAGTTTCTTTCTGGACTTTATTCCATTTTATGAATCTATTTGTCTACCCTTATGCCAATGCTACAATGTATTGATCACT